CTGTTATCTGAAGAAAAATAAAAAAAAAATCAGGCTTATAACTCCACCTATGAAATGAAGTTTCCTGTTTTATTAGGAAATAGCCATTTTCTTACCATTAATCTCTAGAATAGGGTGAGGTTGTTCTCAGGGCACACACATTTGTCTGTGCTTTACAGTTTCCATTGTAGTTGGAATGTGAGACTGACCCATAAAATCCTTGCCCAAGTGCTCCTTCATGCATTACTTCTGTCACTAGCTTGGCGCAATCAAGGAAGGTAGATTCACAGAACCCGTAAACCTAATTCCTACTTGTCTGCCAATTGGAAAGACCTACTTTCAACTTTATTTGAGCAAGAAACAAAGTTCTATCATGTTTGAACTCATATATTTTACACAGTTTGCACACACTAGAAATATTTTCTACTTTAGAATTTTGCTGGATAATATACAGATTTTTTCAATTATAAATCATATCTAAAAAATTTAATAATCTTAAAATTGTCTCATAATTAGTCAGAGATAAACAAAACACAGTGTTCCTAAGAAAAGAGAATGAAACAAAGATGCATATATTTTTGTGTGTTTGAGATGGTGATGCCTGGGATAAATGAGAAAGAAGTGACAGACAATATTTCCGGGGTATGAGACATGCCCAGGAAGATATAATCATTTGGATAAATGGTTAACATTCAACTAACGGTGAACATTCAAAGAGCAATGAGAAGACCAAGAGAAGATTGGGTGCCTAATAAATGCCTTAGAAGAAATCCTAAATTTAGAAAGATAGGCAAATAATGAAACTAGAATAAGGGGCTAAGTCCAATATTCTGCATTTCCTTTAGCGTCTAGCCTGTCTGGCAAAATATCAAAAGCATTGAATTTATTCTACTAGATAAGAAATCATCTAACTCCTATGTAAAAGGTGAGCTATTTATGCTCAAAGTAAGAAAGATCAAAACAGTTCAATGTGAAAAAGGCAGTAAGAGCCCTGACAGAAACTCCCCAGAGAAGCCAAGAAGTATTGTTCATAGGCCTCACTGTAGAATCTGTCTATAGACATCATGGGAATTTCATAAAGATGATAAAGCATGAGTATACTACAAATTTTATGGATTCAATCATTTCATTTTACCTCAAGCAAAATGTTCAGGCCTGCAGAATTGCCTCCTGAGCTATTCTGGTATTTGAGATTAGCAAAGTGTGCTGTGTTTAGAATCTATTCACTCCTAAGACAGGCTGGCTTTGAGAGCCCTCCCTGGACATGTGTGGGGAGTTTCTGTCAGGGCTCTTACTACCTTTTCCACACAAAACTGTTTTGATCCCTCTTACTTTGTGCATAAATAGCTTACTTTTTACATATGAGTTAGGTAATTTCCTATCTAGCTATTTAATGCTAAAGATTTACCAGTGTTTGAGGAAATGGTACCATGGAATAGACAGACTAGGGGCAGTCCTGTCTTGGCCAGCAAGTCTGGGCCAGAATGGATGCTTCAGAACATGGCATAGACACAGTAGCCGACAGGATCAGGTCAAGTTTTGGGTCAGTGAGTGCAACAGTGTAGGCAAAGAGGCAACAGGAAATCCAGGATCAAAAAGTTTCATGTCTTGGCAGACAGGGTCATCAATGGAGAATCCAAGAAACGTCAGATACCTCCATAGCCAGACTTTTGTAAGAAAATCAGTATCTATCAAGTCCCGATAGGACTTTTACAAGTTTCCATTTCCCTTAGACCATAATTTCTATTTCTCAGCATTCCTGTAAAATCAGCAAACCAGAGCCATCATTCCTCACACAATAGCTGGCTTTTGAAATATCTAAGAAAATGTAAAATATAGTTGACATCAAAATAATATGAATATCCAGAGACTGTGTCATATCTCTGAGCCCAGCAAGTGCTACAGGAAAGTCTGAGTAATAACCACCTTAACGATTCATGAATAATACAAGCTTCACTCCCTTCAGGCTGATCTATGGCTTTTGGGACACCGTCATTTGAGAGAAAATTAAATCCACAAGTTACTTTTCAAGTCCTTCTGCCCAGGTAACGTCTTTGTTCTACAGAAAAAATTAAGATCTCAATTTAAAATTTTTGTGTATTAATAAAATATGAAGAAGAATGTGCCAAGATGATGTTTTGTACCCTTCTATGTGAAGTTATATCTTTACAGTTCTTACTGCTTCCACTTCCTACCACAATTAAAAGAAATGCACAAATTAGTTGTGTTATTAGAAGTTTAATTTTCTTCAGGAAATATATGGAGTGAATCATGAGAGTGTTAGAGGTCATGCAGTTCAGCCTGTACTCACAGAATATATGATACCTTTTAATTGAGAAATTAGTATCAGATACTTCTCCAAGTACATTCAAGGTAATATCTCATTTAATCCTCACAATGATCCCTTTATCTCCATAATAGAACTAAAGGAAACTGAAACCCACAGATCCTAGAGTGTCTGTACAAAATCACATTATAAATGGCAAAAGTGGGATTTCATTCCAGAATGTCTGAGGTGCAACAGGTTAAAACACAGCACTTAGAAGCAATCGAAGCCTCTGTAACACAAGTTCAATCCCCGGCCAGGGGGGTGACCCACATGGCATGACAGACTTCTCCTGACCCTCCTGCTGTTCCCTTCAGCAGTGTATTTCAATCCATCTGCCTGTTCTGCTCCCCACTCTGTCTCTGGTAAATCCTCTCACCTCCTGCATTTCTGGCCTGTACCCCAGTTCTGTATGCATAAATAAATAAATCTTTTAAAAAAACTAATAGATTCTTACTCACTATGCAAATCATATAATAAAGATAAGCATTACTTGCTATATTCTTAAATGAGTATTTATTCTTAAGATTTCTGTGGTATATAAGATGTTTTTAGAAATGCATGTTAACAATTTACTACACAATTCAAAGACCCAGTTTCTGATTTTTCACCCAAGCATTACCACTGATAAAGAGGATGGGTTTAACATAATATCTGACAAGTTTTCAGCCACAAATAACTAATGTGCATACAAAACAAAAACAAAAAGCACAGACAGAAAGAGAGCTGGAGAAAGAGAGGGACCTAGTGCCAAATTCTGGCATTTCCAGAAGCATGTCACACATCTTTGTTATTGGACTACAAATCACCACCTTGAGAGTTCTGCGTGCAGAATAGCTGCTGTGGACAATTCTGTCTTTTTCAGCTATCTACGTCCATAGCCTGTGAACCTTATGCTCATGATAGATGCACTGGACCCCACCACCATTTCTAATATAGCCATCTCTAGGTGCCCAGGCTGTTTTTGGAAATCTTGCTTGTTTAGTGTCTAACTTTTATCCTCAATTTGTCACTGGACCATTCCATTCTGCTTGTTGAGTCTGTAAAAAACTTCATGGATTTCATTTGTCCTTGAAATGTACATCCATAAAATCCTATTTCTTTTTAAAAAGCTGACATCAGATTCTTTATGCAAGCTCTGAATTTCTTCTCCCTTTGGGTCCATAAGTACTTTCTTTTTCAACTGGCAATTTTAAAATAAGTGGCCTGGGTTTTAAAATGTATAAAGTTAAAAAAAAAAATCCTGAGATTGAGTAGTACTGTTTCACTTGATTTCCACTCGACTATTCAATGGTTTGAAAAGACCCAACCCTTCACCTTCTATAACAGTTTCACTCACTAACACATCAACTTATGATGTTAACTCTCCTAACAGACCTTAGCATTCAAATTTTTTGTGTTCTTCGTACCAGAACAAAACTGTCACATTTTAGCTCATTTCAGAGTCGAAGCTGTCATAATCTGCTGTTACATTTTTCTGAATGTCCTCAAGCTGTCAAAATGTTTGCTATGTCTATCAAAATATGCCAAATTTATTTGGAGCATTGGACATGAGCCTCACTGAAGTCTTTCACACTAATGGGGTTGAATGAATAGCAAATATATAAAGATTAAATGGAGAAAAGTATATAGTAGGGAATGTCTTTGCATCTAAATAGGATAGAAAGTATTGTGAAGAACTGACTCATATTGCTGTGCCTTTGTAGCACAAGTAGAATCTAACTAGTTACATAAGACAAGTCACAGCAGAGATCTTGACTGGTTAGCAGCTTTCATTGAATAAAGGTTAAAATTGGCACCAATTACAAGCCAATGCAATTGTTAGAGCTCATCTTGCTTTATTAATATCAAAGTGGTATTTTAAAATATTCGATGTCTATTTCAAATTAATATAGATACTTCAAGCATTCCCAACGGATCTTCTAGAGCTCTGTGATCACAGTCTATCACACACTACAAAGTAGGGATGGAGTGGAGGCACAAGTCTCTCTAGATTCCACAACATAGAAAAGCACTTCTTCCTACATGCATGAGAAACTAAATCAATTTGAGGTGTATTTATCATAGGCATAGCTGCAGAATTCCAATTAATTAACCAAGATAGAAACAAATCATTTGTGGCTAAATTCCTCAGGCTTATTTCCAAATAGAATTAAAATGAAAACTAGTTTTATTTTTGTTGGCATTTCTCCAATATTTACAAAGAGTGAAAAACTGGTCCGTTACAAGGGGTTTTGGGACAATGAAGTGCTTTGATTTGAGATAAAATCAACTTTGAAAGGACCTATCTGTCCCTCATGGGGTGAAGCAGGGGTAAATTTGCAAATGGGAGGAACCTATTTGCATTTCCAGAGTTCCACTTCCATATCACATGCCAGTTACAGACAATAACTGAGTGACTGTCCTGACTTGCAATCATAACTTTTGGTTTTACAAAAATATGTTGCTCTTTAAGAAAACTTTTATCCAAGGACTTTTCTTCCTTGAAAGGAATGATTTCAATGACAGCAATTTCATACTAAATATTAGGTAGTCCAAATCATGGAGAGATAAAATTACCTGGCATTATGTCCAAGCCTGACCATTTTGACTTCGTTTACCCGATAAATAAATGAAAGTGTTTGAAAGAAAAATCTCCATCTGTTTCATCCTAAACTCTGAACAACTCACACTCTCCAGTAAACAATACTCTTACCTCAAAGGCCCTCTGCATTTTGACAAAATCACCCACGCTGAGCTGGTTTTCAAGCAGGGCTGTGACAGGGTCTTCTTCTGCAATTGCACCTTCTGTTCTCTCCAAGCTCTTGAGCTCAGGCCGGAACCCCATGTTTAACTCGAGTGCTGCATTCTGGTTACTCATAATGGTTTCTCCTCTTTTCAACAGCCTTCAACTATTTCTATATACTTTTTTTCCCCTTGAAAAGAAACCCAATTTAGCAATAGAGTTCCGAAATGAAAGTACAACCATTTCAAGGCACACAATTAGGAGCCAAAATGTTCAAACCCAGAAGTAAGGAATAAAAGTGTTCAACCCCCACACTTACTTAATTCCAGTTTATTTTCAAAATCCACAATAGAATCATTTAAAAGCAGCCGCTCTTTATCCTCTGTTTAACCTGGCTTGAATAAAAATGTGTAAAGTTTCTTCTGTTGCTTAATGCAATTGCCACACAATGCAGCTTCTAACCTTCAGTTTAAATGCATTAGAAAAGCAACTTCTCAAAATCTCTTTGACTAACCTTGCTACTTTAACATGTTGTGGTATTTAAACTCCATTTTCTTGCCTGGAGTGATTAGTTGATGTAGCTGCAAGATTTCCCTCCCAGCAAAGCGCTTCCCTCTCAAGGCCACCTTTCTAGCAACATGGAGATGTTTGTTTCATCCCTCCCTGCCACCTTTGTATGTTCCCTGGCAACCAAACAAAGCCTAGTACAACTTTCCTTTTCCTTCCCTTCCTCTAAGCCCCAAATAGTGACTGAACTGAGTTTTGAATATATATAATGTAAACGTTGAGTTTTTTTTTTTTTAGGACAATTTAGCTCACCCACTTTTTATAAACTTTATTTCTGTATCGTTGAAAACAATTTTAATAAATACATCTTCTCTAAAGCATATCATGTATAATATTATGAGGCAATATAATCAACTGAAAAAAGAAGCTTGTGGGGCCTTCTGAAATTTTGTTTTCCACATAAAAATGTCTCATTCTTAGTTGACAGGAATCTGTACCTTGGATTCTCTTTGTTTTCTGTATCGAAAAAATAGGGTTAGTTTTCCAAAATGTTTTCAATTCATTGAAACACAACAAAAAAATTAGTTTGATATCCCTGTATAAAATGATTTACATTATCATCACAGGTTAATAAAAAGGAGAAAAGTAAAGGAGAAAAGACTCCTTATTTTAGTATTTGTTATGTTTCAGCACCACTCTAAGTATTTTACGTTCCTTATTTTATTTAAGCTTCACAACAACCCTATGAGGCAGACAAGATCACAAGCCGCATATTACACATGAAGAACAAAGGAAATGCCAGAGACATCAGTGAGGTAAGGAATGCAAAATGGCTTCGATTTCAGAACCTGCCTTATGGCTGGAGGCCCTCCTTACATCTTCTTCTCATCTCTAAATCTGAAACATTGCCCTGGATATCCTCCAAATCATGTCCTTCTCCAACATTCCATGTGCTTGTGTTCACAGAACAATATGTGGTGTGTTCCCTACAAAACAGAGAAGGAAGCATCCCACGGGCATCCCTGTATGAAATTTAGGGAAAAAAAATAAAAGATGAAATGCCATTTATGCATCCATTATTGCAGCCATCTCTCATTCCAAAAGCCATTTATTAAGACTGTCCTCTATGACAAGTTCTGAATTGGACTCCATTTGTGTCTGGCTCCCCTGAAAGCAAAGAGGAGTTGTCAATGAGGAAGTTATTGCAGAAGGAGGGCCAGAAAGAGCCCAAACTAAGGCTGAGGGATCAGAGTTAGCAGCTGTAAACCAAAGGTGGGCTTGTCCTCCCAATTTGGGGGCATATCCAATGAGATAACGGATGCCTGGGTCTTTAGAAACCCATAGAACTGGGTTTATTAAATTATAGTGCGTTGGCCGTGTGCAGGAAAGAATGGGGCCTGGCCTTAATTAATTTGAACCTCATTACAATATCCTTGTGTCTTAATTAGAGTATCCAGACAACTCAAAGAAGACCCAACCGTGCCAGGTGACCCCAAGAGTATCTCCCTGGGCATATATGCAGCAGGTGGAGGTACTGGTGTGATTAGTATAAAAGTTCAAGGCAGAAGTAAGGCGGAGTTGGAGAGCCAAGAGAGAGGAAGGGATGAGAAGTTTACAAGTCCATTTCAGAAGCAGGACATTACCAGAAGCTATGCTCAGCCGAGAAGTCCAAAGATGAAAACTGTGCCAAAGTCCCTTGAGGTAAAAGGATCTTAAGGCAAATAGTTCCACTCAGGGGATGTAACAAAGTGTAAAACCCAGTTCTAAATATGCAGTGAACAAGTGAACTAAGGCAGTCACAGCACACACATAGGAGTTATTTATTTCTTGGGTGGGGATCTCCTATAGGTCTTAGGTTGATACCATCCAAGGATCCGCAGTGGTAGCTGGGAAGAGAGTGGCTCAGCAAAGGAGTGTCAGGACCAGAGTCTCCAGGTTTCCAGCCTGTAATGAGTGAGGTTGAACCCAGACACTCTCCCCATCATTTTGGCTGATGTTGGAGGATCTTTGAATGGTCCACTATACTTGGGCTTTAAGGAAGGGGCTCGAAGGAAGAGGCTTTCACCAGCACCAGATGTCCTGGCTGGAAGAGGGGTTCCCCTGATTCACAGGGGACCATGCCTAAGGACAGGAACTGTGCCTGGGAAATGACATCCTTTATCACGGTTGTTGTTGCCTCACTCAAGAGGAAATCATTATGAGAAAAGGCCTTCCATTTGATATTTCAAAAGGACTCAGTTCCTGCTTCCTTGGGCTACTTCTAAGGTGCAGCAGGATAGGTTCTAAGGTGCAGAAGAAGTTCAGGTCAGAGGAAATGTCTTTCCTGAGAAAATTTTTGTAGCTGGCACTTCATAAGACAAAAGACTGAGGCCTCCAAGCACAAAGAAGGTGAACATTTCTGCTTGGAGTTTTGAATAACAATGGCCATAATGATGATCCCAATATCATTTTGGAGGCTCCCAGCGAGTCCAAAGCCAGCTGTGATTTCTCGTAGGAGAGTCTCAACCAACTCCAGAGCCTTCTCAGTCCTTCAGGGGAAGGCCTCCACCATCCTGTAAAAGTGCCAACCCAGACAAGAAGAATTTGATATTCTAAAGCCAGGGGAGTAAGTGGATATGTGCCTATGTACTGCATTCCAGGGGGCCATCCTGTGATTTCGGAGGTTAGTCCCAACACACACTTCACAAATGCCACAGATTTGTTTGATAAATTTAGGAAGGCTTTTTGCTATAAAGAGTTTCTGAGTCATAAGCAAGGTTTTGGTAATGGGGACAGTGGCACAATGGATAACGTGTCTGACTACGGATCAGAAAGTTCTGGTGCAGGGTCTTAAAGACCTCCCACTAGTTACAGGAAGCCTCTTTACTAGACTAGCTGTCCCATGGGCTAAAAGTGCAGATTTTCTCCAATGCTCATGAGTCTCCTTGGAGGAATCCTGAGGTTTATATCTCTGACTGGATTGTGCCATGTCAGAGGCACCTCCAGGGACTGCCTTCTGAGTCAGGCAGCTGCCCTTGCTCCTAGAACAGCTTTGTGATTGCCTTTTGCTGCCTCATCTTCCTCTTTTTGGTGCCCTCCATGGAGAGTAATCACTACCTCTCATGGTAGGTAGAGAGCTGTCAGAAGCCTGTCGATCTTCCTAGGGCAATTAATGGGAGACACATTTGCTGTGAGATATTATCTCTCTTTCCAAATACTGGTGTGGGGATGGAGTATGAGGAACAAGTAATATGCATCTGTGTAGATAATGACTCTTTTGCACTTCCTCAGTTGTAGAACTTGAGTTAAACTCAAGTTGGACACCAGTCCCTGCAGGAAGTGGCTGGCTCTCTGAACTATCAGCCTGAGTTACCACTACATGCTGCCTTTCTCACACTGTTCTCCCAGGGAGCTCCCATCAGTAAAAAGCCCAGGCCTGGTCTTCCAGAGGATATTCCTGTAAGTCTTTACCATGTGCTGCATAAGTGGCCTGAATTATCTACCACAATCATATTAAGGCTCCTCAGCTTCTATGCCCATGCATGGGAGAAAAGTACCAGGGTTTAAAAGAGCCGAGCAGGTTTTAGGTTTAACAGAGGACCCTCCAGCAGGATAGCCTGGTATTTTAGTAATTGGGAATCTGTAAGCCGGATGTTGCCCCTAGAGGAAGGAGGCTGAGACTATCATGGGTAGTAGAAACAGGTCATTGCCAAATATTAGAGAGCCTTGGGGACTCGCAGGCCACAGCCACCACTGTCTGTAGGCAGACCGGCCATTCTTTTGACACCAGGTACAGTTTAGGTGCACTATATATTGGCTAGTCCCATCGGCTAAGTCAAAACTCCAAAGGACATTCCTTTCCTCTCAGCTATAAACAGATCAAAATCCTTCCCAATGGGGAGATTTAGAGTAGAGGCCTGCTGAAAGGGTTGTTTGAGTTGCATAGAAGCCAACTCAGCTTCTGGTTTCCATAGCAGGAGCTGGGTCTCTGAAGCCCGAGCTTCTCTGATAAATTTACACAAGTGTGAGCTATTTCCCCATATCCAGAGATCCATAATTTGCAGAACCCTGTGAAACCCAAGAATTCAAGTAACTGATGGAGTGTCTGGGGAAGGGGGAAAGCAGCTATAGGACCCCCTCTTTTAGCAATCAGCTTTCTAGTCCCTTCAGGGAGAGCTAAGTCCCGATCCCAGATAAGGTCTAATCTCTTGACAAGAACTGGGTTTTTGTTTTGCATGTTTTTTTTTTTTTTTCTTAAAGACCTGCATGCCCCCCCTTCTTTTAAAGATTTATTTATTTATGCTTATAAGAACTGAGGTACAAGCCAGCGATGTGTTTGGGGAGGAGGGTGGGAGTGAGAGGATTCACCAGAGATGGAGGATAGAGTGGGGATCATAACAGAAAGATGCACTGATATACAGTGCTGAGGGGTGTGGGGGGTGGGTACAAAAGATGTCTGCCACACCATGTGGGTCACCTTTTGGCCAGAGATCAAACTCCAGCTTCAGTGGCTGCAGACAGCATCATAGTGCTGTGTCTCAATCCTTTGCGCCACCAGGGAGGCTCTGAGAGACCTTATGTTCTTTAAGAGCCAAGAAGTTCAGAAGATCAGCTGTGTCCTCCTGACAGGTCTCTCTGTGCACAGAGGA